CAAAAAGATTTTAATAAATCAAGCTTTTTTAGCATAATTATAGATGAATTTATGAATTTTAACAGGTTGTGTATTATACATTAGGGTACAGTGAATTTCATATGTTTTTGAAAAAAATAAAATTAAAGCTTAGGAAAAGGTGTATTCTTATGTAAAATTAAATTTTAAGGTAGGTTTGCTATGGACAACTTTTTGATTAGAAAACGTTTTGATACCCAAATTTTCATATTTAGACATTATTAAAATGAAATATACTTTAATTATTATAAAGTAAATTTAATCCGGTTTTATGTTAAGTTTCTCATAATAAGCGCAGTGCCAAATCAATTTTTAAAGAAATTCTTAGCTCTCCACCGTAAAAAACATCTAAACAAGATCGTAGTCTGTAAATATTTTATTTGTTATATTATCAATTTATTCATAAATGTCGAAAGTTAAAACTAGATATTCATCCACCACTAGAATTTCTGAGTTTGTTGGACCTGGAAAAGATTTTATTCCTAGTGAGCTGCCTACAAACAGAGCAGTTATTCAAAAAGGAATTTTATTAAAAGAACAAAAAAGCATAACATGCAATTTACACCAAAATAAATATTCTAACAAAGATCTTGCTAGCGATCTAATTCCACTTGTTCTTGCTCAATGGAAAAAAGCAAGTATTTTATTTCAACAACCAGTTATTATTGGGGAGAAATCGCTTTATTATAGAATAAAAACACTTTGGGAGAAAGTAGAAAACGTTGCATGGGGAAGAACTAAGGTAAAAGTAAAAGAAGAGCTAATATTGAAGTTAGATAAACTAATGGACCTCATAACATGTCCTCACACAATACTTCTATGCGAGCATGATCTGTTTGGGTGTTCTTCCCCCAAAAATTGTAAAAATAAAGCACATATAAATTGCACCTGTATTTATTCTAAAAAAATTCCAACTATCGAGCTCAGGTGGTTATACAGTCAAAGAAATAAGACAGGTGAAAAGTCTGACATGCAGATGGGACATGCTGATAAGATTGAGACAATGAAACTAAGAAAAAAGTATAAGAGAAAAGTCAGCGATGAAGAAGCTTACAAGAAAAGAATTAAAAAAATAGAGGAGGAACAAGCATTCTTCGAGGTAAAAATAATTTCTTAATAATAAATATTTTCTTTTTTCGTATAATAATAATAATAACAATAATATATATATATATATATATATATATATATATATATATATATATATATATATATATATATATATATATATATATATATATATATATATATATATATATATATATATATATATATATATATATATATATATATATATCTATATATATATATATATATATATATATATATATATATATATATATATATATATATATATATATATATATATATATATATATATATATATATATATATATATATATATATATATATATGTATTTTGGTTTTAATTTGATTTTAGGTCGCAGAAAAAGAAGATATAGAATTAGATAAAGAACATCAAAAAAATATTTTTCCTGGCTTTCTCAATGAAAACTATAATCTAGATAATGTTAACTTAACTTTAAAACAAGACAATGAAGTTAAGATTTTGGTTAAAAGGCTGCTAAAGGAAAAGTTAGGTGTCTATGCTTTCCTTGTAACACGGTTTTTAGAAAAGAAGTCAAGATATAACACAATGTCAATAAAAAACACAGCTATGGCTAGTATAAGGTAATTATATTGACTTTTGTTTTGTTGAGCAGCAACATGAGTTAATAGAAATAAATATAAACCATTCTTATTTTATAGGTTTGGGATTTCACCTGCCGCAACTGCAGCAATTGCTACAAGTTATCTTCAAGATTTAATTGAAGCAGGATTTCTCACCCCTGAGTCCTCTTACCTTGCTTGTGATCCTTCTAAGTTGACAAGAGAGAGAAAAAAGGTGATGGTAGTTGCGAAGAAAAATGATAATTTAAAACTTCCGAAAGCAGATAATATTGCCATTTACTTTGACGGAAGGAAAGATTCAACAAGAGCAATGATAAATGATTCAAATGGACAGCTACATCCTATTATTATCAAAGAGCAGCACATTACTGTGACTATAGAACCTGGTGGTCGATATCTTGGCCATTTTACCCCAAATGCACCTAATCATCTAGATAAGCCAGTTAAAAAGATTGCTGAAGGTGTTTATAATTTGCTGCAACAATATAATCTTACTGAATCATGTTTAGTACTTGGAGCTGACAGTACTTCAATTAACACAGGCTGGAAAGGTGGTGCTATAACGCATCTTGAAAAGCTGTTAGGTCACAAGTGCCACTGGGCTATATGCATGCTTCATTCGAATGAATTATTTTTGCGTCACCTTATAGAAGGCATTGATGGACCAACATCATGTAGTACTGGATTTGTAGGTCCTGTGGGAAAATTTCTTCCTGATGTTAATAAAATGGAGTATAATCCTCAATTTAAAGCTCTTCCAAATGGAGAGAGCTTTGTCGACATTCCAGAAACAATATTAAAAAATATGTCAACAGATCAGAAACAATGTTACAAGCTATGTAAAGCAGTTAAGATTGGTTTATTGCCACCTAATCTTAGAGAAATTCAATGTGGCCCCTTGAGTCATGCCAGATGGCTCACTACTGGCATGAGAATAGTCTTTATGTGGACAAGGAAACACAACTTAAATGATCAAAATTCGCAAAATCTAGAAATACTTGTTGTATTTTGTTTACAATTTTACTTTAAACTTTTTTTTGACATAAAGGTCAAAAACAGACTTGAAGATGCTTCTTATCACATTCTGTCTCAATTGAGAATTCTTAGAATGCAACCTGATAGAGTAAAAGAAATTGTGTTTCCCTACATCCAGTTAGGGGCTTGGTATGCGAACCATGAAAGTATACTAATCTCTTTATTATCTAGTATTAATGCAGAAGATCGCAATTTTGCAGTTGATCAAATTTTGAAACTAAGGGGTAATGATATCCTTGGAGATATGCAAATCAGACCAAGAAAAACACCTAAACTTAACTTTGCAGCAACTACTCTTCAAGAGCTAGTTAAATGGGAAAATGGTGTTGTTGAAGATCCTGTTTTTACTTGTTCGCTCAACAGAGATAATTTGTTATTACTTAGATTGATACCTTTAATAACTCCTTCGATTAAAATTCATACTCAAAGTACTGAACGTGCTGTAAAACAAGTGACAGTAGCATCCATGTCAGTAGTTGGACCATATGCAAGAGATGGTTATATTAGAGCTAGAGCTCAGCATAGAGAGTTGCGACCTGTTTTTAAAACAAAGAAAGAAATTTTATTAAATTTTTAACTTCAATAGATTTTTATTTTATTTGTTTTTTAATAGTGTTTTAGCAGTTCTATCAAAATATTATTGGGGTAAGATAGGGGGATAAACCACCTACTTTTTGGTGAAAGTATAAAGAACTGTTATGATCAAATTTTTTAATCATTAGAACCTCATAAAAAATTGAATACCCCCTCCTCCTCCCTCTAAAAAATGCAGAATCTGCACTGCAGATAGGATCCATGCAAGATAATGATTTTAAAAAGTATCTAAAAAACTTTCAATAATCTAAAAATATTATTTGCATTTAATATTTTATCGCAATGAAAATGAAAATATAAAATACAATGAAGGAAATGTGACAAATTAGATTTTACTAATTTTTGCTATTTCTAAAAGTCCATATTTGGGTATCAAAACTTTTTCCGATCAAAATTTTTTTTTAAGAAACCCTCTTTAAAATTTGATTTTACATAAAAGTACACCTTTTCCTAAGCTTTTAGAAAAAAAAAAAAAATTCGCTGTACCCTATTATACATTCCAAATGCAACTAATGGAAATTTTTTTCTCAGCTATAGATAGTGTTATTAGACAAAAAAAATTTTTTTAGCTATTATTAGGTAGTGTTATAAGGTAGTGTTATTAGACAAAATGCAGATCAGTAATAAGATTTAATTTTAAAACACTTATACTGAATCAAAGTGAAAACCATCAATTTTAGTACTTGGAGATGCTGACATGTGAGCAAACAGAAGAATTATGATGAGATCTCTTTTAAAGAAAAAGACAAATTAAGTGAAATCAAAATTGATGAAGAGCTTGATACACCAAGTAAAGGTTCACCACCTATGATTGGAATTAATATTTGTTGAGTGAGTGTATTGACAGTTAAACTGGTGTACAAATAGAGATAAAATTTCTATAAAAAAGTTACTTGACAGGCGCACATTACTTATCATTTGTAAAACAAACTCTTAATATTGAAGTTTTTAAAAAATCAAATGGATGTGAATTTTAATCAATCAAAGTTAAAAAGAAAAAACAAGATTGTTGTCTTTACTTACACTATTTATGGTATCGTAATACTAACACCAGTGCTTCTTCCTTTGATGGTTTCTTGATGGTTAAATTGTAAAACTATTTTTTTCACAAAAACTTATATTTAAGTTTTAGGAAGAATAATTTCCTTTCAGGAGAAAAAAACAACTGTTTTAACAATTAAATATTTTACTGTTTTGAATAAAACTTAGACATATATATCAAAAAAATAGTTAAAAAAATTGTTACTTTAGTCATGTGTGATATCAAAAGCTTGACTATTAGATAAAAGTTACATGCTATTATTTTTTATACTTAGATTTACTTAGCCAGATCAAAATTAGTTGCAATGTTAGTAACGTTATCTATACTTAATTAAACTTGTTATCTTGCTTCCCCTATTCTTAATGTGTTATCTTGCTTAGCCTATTCTTAATGTGTTATCTTGGTAAGCCTATTCTTAATGTGTTATTTTGTTTAGCCTATTCTTAATGTGTTAAAAAGTTTGAAATCTTTAATTGAAATTGACATTAGTTAGTAAATAGTCATTTACTATTTTATTATTTTAAAAGTTACTATTTTTATTTTATTACTTTGACCCACTATGGGATTTTAAAATGTTGACAGAATTAAGGAGCTGTTTCACATACTTTTTTTTTTTTAGTGGACCTCATTCCAATGGCAGTCAGTACTTTATCACTTTAGCACCGTGTCAATGGTTGGATGGTATATTTCTGAATTAATTTTCTTAATTATTTTCTAAATATTACTCTGTTAATATTAAAAAAATAATTTTTTTAATGCTTTGAATTTAATATAAAACTATTTTTTTTATTTTCAAAAAATAAAATAAAATAAAAGATTAACATGTTTCGATGAAGACATTTTTGATATGATTTTACTTTATTTGCACTCAAGTAAATTTAACAAATGTTAAAAATTTGATTTATTAAAAAATTGTTTATCAGAAAAATATTTAAGCAATTTTATGAAACAATTTTTGAATATGCACCTAACCACAAACAATTTGTAAAAAAAAATTTTTTAATACAAACTATTTTGTGCCAACTACTTTTTTAGTACAAACTATTTTCCAGATACGTTCTTCAAAAATGAATATCAGTTTTGTTGACTCCAATTACTATTTTTTAAGCTTTCAGAAATTTGAAAAAAAGTGAATATCACGCCATTTTTTTAAAAAGGTGTTGAACCAAGTAATAAAAATCTGATTAAACCAAAAAATCTCTCAATTTTAATTTGGCAAAATTTATGTGCATAAATCTATTTAAAAACAAATGTAAACAGATAAAATACATTGACACAAATCATGTGAACTGTATGTACTAAATATGAATATATGTGAACATGTATTTATATAAAAAAAAAATATTTTGGTAACCAATAGTTGACAATACCAAACCAATAGTTGTTTAGAAATACTGTTTTAAATTAACTTATTAAATTTTAATATCTGTAATTTTAATTATTTTTAATTATTATTATTATTAATTTTAATTTTAATTATTGTAATTGAAAATTAAGAAAAATTCATAAAACAGTTTTAATAACTGTAATTTTATCTTTTAACTTTTAAAGTTAATATGTTTGCAACAATGATTTTTTGTTGTAAATGCATATTTAAAGTGTACTAAAACACGTATTTAAAGTGTACTAAAATACATGTTTAAAGTGTAGATAGTGTTTCTTTCAAAGCAGCTACAAGTTCAAAATGCTGGAAAACTAGTTGCCAAACAATATTTTGTAGTATTTATGTTCCAAGCCATTTGTAAGACAATTTTACCTCCAATGCCTAATTTGTTCTCTTCAAAATCCCAAAGCCTAAAGTGTCTTTTTCTTGATAAACCTGAAAGTCATGCACTACATCTGTGCAACTTGCTCTTGTAAATATTTTTTAACACCATTTATGAGGCTTTTTTGCAAAAAACTTCTCCTTTTAAAAAGTAAAATTTGCTTATCAATAGAAATACCCTTTCATTTTGGCAATTTTTTCTAACATGATAGTGGTCAAATTTTAATTTGTCATATCCTAGTTCATACCTAATTTTCATGTATACTTTATCATTGAGTATATGTGCTCAAACCCCGCACTAGACATTCCGAAAGTGGGTGAAAAAAATATTTTGGCACATTAATAAAATAAGTTTTATGTTTTATAATTTATTTTAATACTAACTTTTTTAAAAAAGAGTATAAGTAAATTATTAAAAAAATACTTTTCAAAAACAATACATCTATGCAATGTTAATGATTTGCCATTAACTATCTAACATAAAAACAGCATGAAAGAGTAATCTAATTTAGCTTTTATTGTTTTATTTTGTGTCTTATAGATAATTGAAAATATGAATATTTAATTTTCTGTAAATGACATAAATAATAAATATATTTATAAAACTAACCTTTTTTATAGTAACAAAATATGTAATAATCAATCAGAATCTAATTGTAGAAACGCAATGTTGCCAAATAATCAAGCTATATAAATCTTATAAAAGCGTGGATTCATGAAAGGACAATTAAGTTTTATATATACTCAAAACAAGTTGAATTGATGACAAATTGGTGTACAATTTATGGTATAAAATGTGAACATGATGAATAAAAAATTATTAAACTGAAAGGGTATTGTATAAATGATGACATTTTTCTCTATTGAACAAAATCATGTTTTGTAATACAGATAATTTTGTTCAAGATTGATTTTGAGAGATTTTGTGATATTATACCTCAAGTATCTTTTATACCTTCTTGTACCTGGAGGTTCAGTTTTCAAGCTGTAGTTATGTTTTTATGATGGGTGAACCTTAGTACCTTCACCATTATAAGGATGATGGTGAAGCTAACGTTATCTTCACCATTATAAGGATGATGGTGAAGCTAACTATAGAGACAAATTGCATGAGTGTTGTGATAAGTTTTTGTTTAAAAGTTAATTAGAACATTAAAATCTTGAATATGAATTGAATATGAAGACAGTGTTTGAAAGAAATTTGATGAGTTTATAAAGAAGACACAAATATAGATATTTGATTAAAATGTTTAAATATGAACTGAAATTGACTTGCCTGATATTGATTGATCAAATGGTATAATAATATATATTTTATTGATTCTACAAGTCTACAATAGTAATTGGTTCTCTTATTGAATAAATTTATCAGAATTTTATTTTAAATACTTGTACTGAGTAAAATTATCTAATAATTTAATAATTTTAGATCTAAATAAATTAAAATAAATTTTAATGCAGAAACTGGTTATATATATATAAATATTGATATTAAAGTATATTAAATATATAATGACAAAATAAACCTAGTGAACTAAATTTAGTTTTTTTTTTTTAGGTAAACACTCAATATTTGGTCGTGTTTGCAGAGGTATGGAGGTTATAAAGAAGATAGGCATGGTGCAAACTGATCCCACTTCAGACAGGCAAGTTTAACGATAAGAAATTCATTGATCTATAACAATATTTAACCAATTAGTTAAACATCGATTGATTAAATATTGTAATATAATCTATCCAGTAATTATTGTAATATAATCTATCCAGTAATTGTCTATTAAATTTTTCTCCTTTCTCTTATTTACTTTTGGTGAACTTTAAGTATGTAAAAATAATTTAAACTGAAATCTGTATCAGGGCCAAGACACGGGTTTCGAAGTGGAGGGGCGCAATCGTCAATTTTTAAATAAAGTTTTCTGGATCTACAATTTTCTTCAAAAAAAGAAGTCCTTAGAAAAAAAGGGGGAACATGTGCCCTTCGGTGTTGTCGGCTCTGTGTATCTTGTTTAATTGCCCACTAATGGTTTTATAAACTTTTTGTGATTATATCATTACTGATGATGATTTAGTAAAATTGATTTTTAAACTGTTTAAATATTTACCCGCTAGGTTTTGATTGTTGTTATATACATTTTATTATTTTAGTACAGTTATTTCTACTGTAGTCATGTCACTGGGCAAATTGCATAGCCGAATAAAGAGATGGCCTATTTAACGCATAACTATAGTAAGGGGGCATCGATAAAGTACGTACGCAGTAAAACCACTGATTTAGGACCCCCCTTGTACAAACCTGTACGCTTTCGAAAAACCCCCTCCCCTCCGCGTATATACGCATTAATTTTTTTCAAAATTAACTCGATTTTCTTTTTCCTCTCCTAATTGTTTATAAAGAAATTTTAAAAAAATTTGTGACTGAAGTCAGGAAAAAAAAACACAATTCTGATTTGTTACACAAGTGAAATTCTTATATTTTAGTTTTAATTTGTGTACTAATTATTAACAATGTTAAGTATCCATTCCTAAGCATATCTATACTGCTTGGCTATTTTGTTAGTTAAAAAATGCGGCAAAATAAGACTACTTCTAGGACTTCTGTAGGCTTTTTGTCGCTTGAGCGCATGGATTTTCCAGATATTAGAAGATTCATGTATATGAAAACCAAATAAGTTAAATATTTCATGGCAGACCTAAGGCCACGATTGTTATTGCTAATCTAAAAAAGCGCATTATCCGCAAAAATCCATTTTTGGCAGGTTACTTGTTCACGGGTACTTGCAGGCACATTATTTTTTCTGTATAATTTCAATCTATACCTTAGTGGCTTATAAAAGCTATTAAGGAATTCATGTGCAAGTTATGGCCTTAAAATATATTAATACTCAAAAAACATGTAAAATTTCAAATTTAACGGTTAACCATGATTAACAAATTTAACCATGATTTCTAGATAACAAAAAGTTTAACTATACTGAAATTTTATTTTTACTGTAGAAAACTACCAGTAGTAGCAGAAAATTTAAAAAAAGGAATGCATCTCTCAAAATCATGTTGCTGAAATCTCCCTTCAAAGTAGCCATTGCACTTCATGCACAAAGGTTTCATAAAATGGGCTAAAACTTAGCAATTAAAAAAATATAAAAGTAGTTTATTTACGTTATTTTCTACAAAAATCTAAAAAGTAAAACATTTTGACGACATTAGTTCCAAAATTTGTCTATTTTTCTTGCATGTCTCTTAAGAAAAACTAAGAAACTTGTTTCAATTTTAGTAATTTATTTTCAAAGTCAACAAATCTCAAAATATTTAGGTTTTATAAGTAGTTAGAGTTCTGGCTCAGAAAGGAGAGGTTCGTGGTTCGACGCCGGCTCTAGCCCAGTATATGACATAGGTAAGAAAAGAGGTGTGAACTTCCTGGTTAAATGCAATTCTGAGGTGCTATGTCATATAGATCATTATAACCTTCTCTCAACCTTTTAACTAGATCGAAACACGATCCTTGATGAACAAGGTCGTTGCATAAAGGCGAAAAGAACCCACCATAGTCAATGTGGCTATCGTTTTTTAATTGTTGTTACAACCCTCTCTCAATCTTTAACTTGAACGAAACAAGATCCTTGATGAACAAGGTCGTTGCGTAAAGAAACAAGTTAAGTCTGATGCTACCTGGGCCTCGGTGGAGGGGGGGGATCAAACTTGAAACTTCTTTTTTAAGAATTATGAGTGCACTTCCACACCATTACTGTGTTTATGCTAACGAGCATTTTAAATAGTAATATATAGTAATATATATATATATATATATATATATATATATATATATATATATATATATATATATATATATATATATAAATATATATATATATATATATATATATATATATATATATATATATATATATATATATATATATATATATATATATATATATATATATATATATATATATAAACGTTTACTTAGACCTCACTTACATTGTTTTACAAAACCTCTTTACCTCCATAAATACTTTTTTAATGTACTAGCTGTTTTAATGTACGTACGTTTATGAATCCAAATCACTGCTAGATTACTTACCACTTATGCTAATATATAGGCGAAATTTTTTTTAATTTTTTTTTAAGGTGCTCCAAGAAGGCCTTATGGTCTTATCACAGACAACACCGATGACCATCTAATTGGAAGTTCACGCCTCCTTCCAAACCGATTATTGAGGCATAACTGCATATGGAGGCACAATAGTTTTTTAACATTTCCCTTTGAAAAATGATATTTAATATGGCAAAAAACATACCATGTGTTAGTAAAACAGTTTCCTTAATTTTGCTTATGTCAAAAAGAGTGCCTGTTACGTTTCTGAGAAGTTGTGCATAATAATGTTTATTTGGATAAAATATTATATTTACATCTTATTTTTCCAGACCTTTTTTTGAGGATAAAGCAATATTTGATTTTAGTGTTTTAGATATGTGTTATCAGCATTATTTTATTAACTAAAAACCATTTTTGATATCAACATAACCTAATAAGCAAGCTATTAAACCGTATTCTTTCTAAAAACTGTCCTCTGGGGGCAGAACTCAGAGATGAAATTTTGAAAAATTGTTTAATTTTTTTCCTAATTGCATCAATTTAAAGCTTAACGATGTGGTTATTGAAATAAACTTTTAAAAACACATTTCGTTTTTATTTTCATATAGCATTAATCCAAACGTTATGGTTGCGGTTATGCCCCCACTTCCCCTAGATGTATGCTATATAGTTACCAACCTACTAGTTGTTAAAAACCATCTAACCAAATTCTTATTTCTATATTGAAAGTTGGAATGGCTTCAAATGTGTTTTTGATGCAAATATTAATGTTTTTGATGCAAATATTAATGTTTTTGATGCAAATATTATTGTTTTAATGCAAATAATAATGTTTTGATGCAAATAATGTTTTGATGCAAATATTAATGCTTTTGATGCAAATAATAATGTTTTGATGCAAATATTAATATTAATGATGCAAATATTAATGTTTTGATGCAAATATTAATGTTTTTGATGCAAATAATAATGTTTAGATGCAAATAATTATGTTTTTGATGCAAATATTAATGTTTTGATGCAAATAATTATGTTTTTGATGCAAATAATAATGTTTTGATGCAAATAATTATGTTTTTGATGCAAATATTAATGTTTTGATGCAAATATTAATGTTTTTGAAGCAAATATTAATGTTTTGAAGCAAATTTTAATGTTTTTGATGCAAATATTATTGTTTTGATGCAAATATTAATGTTTTGATGCAAATATTAATGTTTTTGATGCAAATATTATTGTTTTGATGCAAATATATATATATATATATATATATATATATATATATATATATATATATATATATATATATATATATATATATATATATATATATATATATATATATATATATATATATATACATATATATATATATATATATATATATATATATATATATATATATATATATATATATATATATATATATATATATATATATATATATATATATATATATATATATATATATATATATATATATATATATATATATATATATATATATTGTTAAAAACCATCTAACCAAATTCTTATTTCTATATTGAAAGTTGGAATGGCTTCAGATGTGTTTTTGATGCAAATATTATTGTTTTAATGCAAATAATAATGTTTTGATGCAAATGTTAATTTTTTGATGTTAAATATTAATACTAATGATGCAAATATTAATGTTTTGATGCAAATATTAATTTTTTGACGCAAATACTATTGTTTTTGATGCTAATATTAATATTTTTGATGCAAATATAAATGTTTTTGATGCAAATAATAATGTTTTGATGCAAATAACTTTGTTTTTGGTGCAATTATTAATGTTTTGATACAAATAATGTTTTGATGCAAATATTAATGTTTTTGATGCAAATATTAATTTTTTAATGCAAATATTAATGTTTTCGATGCAAATATTATTGTTTTTGATGCAAATATTAATGTTTTGTGGATAAGATTTGTACTTTATTAAATCTTTACTTTACATCACAATTACATTACCAGTAACTTTCTTAAGTGAAATATATGAATTTATTTATGCAGGTACATGTTTATATATGCTGCCCCCTTAAGTAAAAGCGCATCAAGCAATCAAGTTGACAATTTTTGAAAGCTACTTTAACATATTATATAAGTCTTGTCTTTGTGTATCAAGCCTGCGTTTGATGGCTTTTGGATGTATTACGATATTTTCGTCTAGTACCCTAAACAAAGAATAACATATTAAGAGGTTTGATGGATTGGAAAATGGGCTTTTGATTTTTGGCGAATAATGCGTTTTTACTTAGTGCGGCAGAATGTATGTAAAGTAAATGTATGTAAAGTATTGTATTACGTTTAGACCAACAGAGGATGTTTACATAATTGAAGCACATTGTTCGCGTGTCTAACGTTGTTTCATTGAAAACACGATTGTCGTATCAAGCTAATGACTTAACCTCTAATCTTGGTGAAAAGGTTTTCATCTTGCAATGAGTTTGATTATGTATGATAGTTGAGAACAGAGTTAAATGGTGAAACTTGGTACAAATAAACTCGTTTCACTGTGCACATTAGGCAATGCGATTTTTTTTTGTTGTTGTTTTATTTGGAGATATTAAAAGCCATCTTCTTATTAAACTTAAAAGGCCCTTGCATCCATTAATTTATTGTTGTGAGTTTTGTTAAATTAGATTTGAAAAATTTAAAATTTGCATAGATTTTAGTTGAAGATTTAGCTGTGACCCCTAGTAATATGTTTGATTTTTTATAAACATCCATAACGCTAAATCCTGAAAATTATATCTGTCCTATATAACAAAACAAAAAAGAAAAGTTTTTAAATTCGTGTTTCTTTTTTTTTTATATTTTTATTTTACGATCCAAAAGCTAAATGAAAAGTTTTTATTTTGAGCTGTGCAAGACTTTTTCGAGGTTTTAAGGTTTAATAAACAAAGTTATTCATCCCCTAGAGCTCGGGAGGGCAAGCAAAAGCAGGTAAAAAATAAAAAATTGTTTTTATGAAAAAATTTACTAATAGTATACTAATAAAGTAGTTTCATCTATAAGCTTATATCACTAGTGATAGTCGTTAAAGATATTTAATCGCTGATGATGGTCTTTAATAAGATATACCTTTAATCACTGGTGATGGTCGGTAAAGAAAAGAAATAAATGTATCTAAAGACGTATAACATAGATTAAAGAGATTCCTGTTTGTGTGTTAAGTTGTCTTTGAGAAAACTCAATTTATAATCGTCCGAATTTCAACCGATCATAATGATATAAAAGACACAAGTTTAAAATTTTTTTTAACGAATTAATAAAAAAGTTTTTTAATGTTGTAAAAATAACTTTTTTGTTGTTGTTGACACTTCCGCCATTCTTCCAAAACTTTATGTAAACCTATCAGAGAACTTAATTTATTGTTACATTCATGAGCGCCAACAGGATTTTTTGATGTTTCAGATATAACACTTTCACGTATTGTGCTAACTCCAAACTTAAGTTTATGCTTAGCCCTAAAAAGGAAATTTTCCAAAATATTGCAATCATGGAGGCCTGGAGAAAAAAATTTTAGCCCATTTGCCCAAAGGTGAGTTATGTAGTAAAATTTTAAACTTTACAATTTCATACTAAATTTAAATTCATTAACAGGTTTGAAATTCATTTAAAAAGTTGTAAATTACAAAAGTTATAATCATGGAAAATTTATAATCCCCTTTTTTTGAAGTTTTTGGAGGGAGGAGGGGGGGGGATGATCTTATTAAATTGTTTTGATCTCAATAAAAATTAATTACGATGGTGCAGCAGTTATGAGCGGATCAATAAATGGAGTACAATGAGAAAAATTTCAATTTTTTTAAACAATTTTATCCAGGGATCATATAAAAAATATTCTAAGTAAAATTAAATTGATGTCAATTTAACCGTTTAATTATGAAAATGCTGTTCTTAGTCATATTGGCAGGATTAATGCCCTATCCCAATTTATTCATGAAAACACCTAGGTTGAAACATTTTCTAAAGTATCAAAGATTATAAAGATAGTTTTGGTTAAACCTGTGTCTACAACTGATGCTGAACGGTGTTTTAGAACTTTAAAACGAAGATACTTGTGAGAAATTCCACATGTTTACACAAGATTGGTTGAATGCATTAGCTGTACTATCAATACATAAAGATTATTTACAGTATATTCTTCAAAATTAGTCTAATTTAATTTCAAAAGTTTTTGTTTATTTTTAAATTGATCAAGGGAAAAAATAGTTTTTAACTCGCTGTTTATCAGTGTGTTCCATAATTCAGGTCCTAACAGAAAATCGTGTTAGATATAAGTAATTTATTTTTTAAAAAAATTAGTTAAATAGGGTGGGTGCCACTTTAATTTCAACTTTTTTAAAAAATCAGGAAGTTTTAAGGGAATATCCTTTTTTTTATGAAGACGATGGAGGAAAGTAAATTTTTTTTTTTTAATATTTATGAACAATATATTTGATATTAAACCATTCGCTTAGTGCGCAAGCTCTTTGTTTACTGTTGCAAGTAAAACAATTAATATCTTTATTAAAATAGGTTAGTATCGTCGGCAAACAAAACCGAATTCAAGATATTTGAGAATTTACTGGAGTCATTTATGTAAATGAGAAATGGCTAAATTTAAACTAAAATTGTTTATTTTAAAGAATATTATTAACATTTAAGAAAGAATAAAGTCTAATATACATAACACGCTCAAAAATCTTGAAAAAACAGTTAAGAACTGAGATCTGTCTGTAGTTGGACACATCAGAAGGCCCAGTGGATACAAACGTAAAAAAGACGTCTTTTAAACGTCTTATATACGTTTCAGAAGTTTTTTGAACGTCTTTTGAATGTTTTGGACGTCTTCAAAAAGCGTCTTTTTTTAGTCCGGTGCCCACTGGGGATCAACTGATTTAAAAATTAGTGTTTTTGCACTTTTAGGTTTTAAGGTAAAATTCCAGAGAATTTTCAGAAAATTAAAAATGTTTAAAAGTGGTATTGTTATTGGCTATCATATTCTTTCTTGCTTTATTTTTTCTTATTTTTTCTTGCTTTATTTTTTCTCTAATTTTTTCTTGCTTTATTACCTTTTTCTTATTTTTTTATGCTTTATTTTTTCTTTTTTTTTTTTGCTTTATTACTTTTTTCTTATTCTTTCTTGCTTTATTTTGTCTTATTCTTTCTTGCTTGGACACCATTTTTATCTTAATTTTGAAGTTATCTAAATACAAGTACATTAACTTATATAGAACTATATCGACTTTAAAATAGATATAAGCATGATATTTATGCTAGATATTTATAGTATAGTTTATTTATAATACAATTTTTAATTCAATTCATAAATTTATTTTTTCATTTAATGCATTTATAGATTTTGTTTGCAATTATTTCAAGTTAATCAATTCACTGCAGTGACGTCGTAGTTAAAGGTTTTTAAGTTATAAAATGTACGGTCATCTTTTGTACATTTATAACATAATTTTTTGTAGTTATAAAATATACGGTCAGTTTTTCTGAATGATTTTTTTTAAAAACAAATTATTTGGTAAACAATTTTTTTTACCGTTTTATTTTCATTTATGGCTTGATATTTTTATATTGACAGTAAAACAGATAGGAAATTAGGTACCTTTCTGGAAAAAAATAATTGTCTATCAGTTTACCAGGAAATTTATGGTTTTAAACATTTTTTTTTGTCACAACCCAAAATCTTTTATCGAGTTCTGTATGAAATACCATAAATAACTCTTTATAAAACAAAATTTTTAAAACTACAGTCGACGGATATGTCAGTATTCAACTCATTGTCAATAAATGACGACGAGTTAAGTATTGACTTATTTGTCATCTATCAAGATGGAAATATATATATTTTTTTGTCACTATTTTAACATAAAGAATAAATAGTAAATATATATTTTTCGAGTGTGAGTAAAGGTATTGGGAAACCTGGCCCGATTCATAATGAATAACTTATGAACAATTTAAAATTGATTTCAAACATTGTTACTACTATATATATATATATATATATATATATATATATATATATATATATATATATATATATATATATATATATATATATATATATATATATATATAAACACACACACAGATATACATATGACGTTACTTAATTACTATTAAGTTAATCTCTTTAAATAATTTGCACTGCAACTCAAATCTGTTAGCCTTTATTTTTTCAGAAACTAACAAACTAGCTTTGTCGGTGAAATTGTTTGTCTACTTAGTTTGTAATATACATTAGAATTTGTTTTTATCTATATTTATCTACGTTATATTTTTATTAATACTAAAACAAGTTGAAAATATTTACAAGTATTAACTTCCTGGAATAACAAAAAACAACGGTTTTGTGAAATCATCGCGGTATATTTTGACTTTTTTTTAACGTTACTATGGTTACGTTAGCGTAAAAAGTTTGTTCAAAGAAACGCAAGTTGTTTATGTTTAATAATCTGTTTACAATCAAAGATTTGTGATAAATATTTAAAGAAACTATTAGGAAATTTTCAAAATAATATAATATTTTAAATGTCCGAAGAAAAACAGCTTTACTGGGAAGATATCGATGGATTAATTTCCTTTTGTAGCCTACTAGTAAGTTCAAAGGAACGCAGTATTTTTATTACGTCTAAGCAAGCTCAGATACTTCAAGAGCTTTTTTAAAAAAGGAAATACCGATAATAATAATACAGCTTTTAAATTGTTTGCGTTTTTTTAAAAAAATAACAATCATGACACAGCTTCATCGTATCGGATACTATCTACTTATCAATTACGCTGTTTGTTGAGAGGTTTGTCACGTGATCAGAGTAAATATTTTCCTTATTCTGCAACAATAAGCTGCATATATAGTCGAGACATCGTTAAAATATTTAAAAGAACAAATAACAGTTACTAAAAGACAGTTGGTAAAAACGTTATTTAAAATGAAGCTTTGTTTTAAATTGTTTTGGATAACTTTTTTAGTTTTAAATTCGGTCACAACTTCAGATTTGATCGGAATGTTTAACTATAAGCAAAAATGCGAGAAGATTACATCGGATATTTGCGTAAAAAATATAAACTCCGTTAGATATAATTCAACCAAATTTCCTAATCTATTAAATCACAGGTCCCAATACGAGGCTAATGTTGAGTTGGCGCAGTTTTCGCCGTTGGTAAAAGTAGGTTGCTCTCCTCATCTGGCTCAATTTTTATGCGCTGTTTATATCCCACTATGTATGGAAAAATATGACAAATTGATTCCACCATGCCAAGAACTATGTCTGAAATCAAAAGATGGTTGTAGTTCACTTATGGAAAGATATGGCTTTATTTGGCCATCAGTATTAGATTGCGATAACTTCCCAAAGCAAGATAACAATTCAACATTATGTATTGGAGTTAGCGAAAAGGTTGTAAAACCGACTCCAGGAACAAATGATCTGAAAGGTGAAGTTTTTATTAAATACTCATACAAATAAATATATTCAAAGTACATTAATTCTTACAAACTACATTAATTTTTACAAGCTACATTAATTCTTACAAACTACATTAATTCTTACAAGCCATGTAACAAAATAATTTAAAACCTATACAACCATATAATTTTGAGTTATAAATTAAAATATAAATTTTGAAAAAGAAAAAAAAAATTCTTATTACTGTTTCAACCTTTTTTTGTAATTATACATCCTAATAAACCAGATGTATTTGATTTATTAGGATGTATTGAAAATTTGCGTCAACTTTATGACTATTTAAAATTATATGTTTGGCATGAACCAATAAACCATGAATGTTCTAACAAATGTTATGTAGTTTGTAAACATTCAATGCGATTAAATATATTTTAGTTAAATTTTATTTTTTTAGGGGAATGGCATTTAGCAAAAGAAAACGAAGTTGTCAACCTCAAATGTTCAAAAGAAAAAGTTATAGAGATTCGCAAGATCCGTCATTCAAAGTCGTCATCATGTTGCACAAAAGCGTCACAAAGTGTTATTTCAGCAATATGCGATGGTAAAAAAAACTGCAAACTAACTGTAACTAGTTCAACTTTAGGAGGGCATTGTAATGGTGCAGTGGGTGATTTATCTATCCGGTATAAATGCGTTAGCCAATCAAAAGTCAAAGCTTGTAATAAAGATGATAAAAGTTAAATGCAGCAAAGCTTGAAATAGATTTGGAAATATTATACGGAAATGCTATATAGTCTAATTGGTGAAGATAAATTGTTAACTTTTACTAAGAAGTGATCCCCTTAAATGTCAGCATCTGTTTAAAAATTAACGTTTCTTTAGAAATTATGCAAATACGAAACAAAAAAAGAGATTCTCGTATATCATGAAATAAGTTGTTGTTCCAGTATGCAATTTCTAGGTCCGCTACTGATATATATGCAAATATGGAAGTGCAAAGCAGTGTTTCGTTAGACAGATATTTATTATATAAACTGTTTTTAGAAAATAATGAATGATATACATTATTATATATACACATATATATTTTTTAAATATTGACATCTTCAATAGGTTTTATTTGTTTAAATATTTTAAAATAAAACTTCTTTTTATCGATTAATTTCTATTTGTTAAAAATATATTTATTTTTACAATATTTTGAGGGAACATTGATACCCTCGTTGTCAAGTATATTAAAAACCTAATAATATTTTAATAAACTCGATAACGAGGGTATCAATATTCCCTCGAAATCTCGTAAATAGATATTAACATATTAATCCATAAAAAGAAATTTTATTTTAAAATATTTATACATACACACACACACATGTATATATATATATATATATACATATATATATATATATATATATATATATATATATATATATATATATATATATATATATATATATATATATATATATATATATATATATATATATATATATATATATATATATATATATATATTGTTTCATTTATTTTAAATTTATTAGAGATTTTTTACACTTTAATATCACATTTCATCGATAGAACTACAAAATTATTTAAATAAATTAAACAAACACTTGAAAAATGTATATTGGTATTGGAAGATTAACATTATGCTTTTTAAAAAGTTTGTCTAATTGAGGCAACAATGACTAAGCACATTACATTAAAAAAAAACAATGTTATAATAGATGTTTTAATAATATATAAATAATTTTTTAAGATTTACTTTTAAGATTTTTTGTGGTTTATTGAACTTTATAATTTATGTCAGAAGAGTGCACTAGGTGTACTCTTTTCTAACATAAATCTTGGGTATTTACTATAAATTGAACAGTTAGTATATTTAACCTTATCATGCACACCAGATTATACAGGGCTCACGCATTTCATAAAAGTGCAAAAATAATAAAGAAATTGGATGAAGAATATAGATTTTCACAGAGTTATGTGGAACTGAGAAAAAACTCTGAGACACAACTTTGAGAGAATCTCTAATTAAGTACACTAATCATACTACAAATAAAGTTCACGCAAAACAAACTTTAGTAAATAAAAACAAACCTTAAAAATTAATATAAAAACTGTATATTTTTCGGAGACTTTTCCACTATAATTTGCATCAATATTAAAGACAATCGAAAATTAGATCTTTAAAAAATAGACGTCTCAGATAGATTGTGAATCTCCACAGTTCTTGTGCTTTTATTTTCAATTGTCAGTGAATAAATCGCGATTAAAACTAGTAAAATTATTTTGAAATAATTTTTGTGTTAAATTAATTTAAAGTTCATAAAATTCATTACACTGATTTTTATTAAATCAAAATATAAAATAAATTTTTATTTATTTTATGCTTGGAGTTATTTAAAGATATTTTTTTTTTGTGAAAACAACCTGCTCATTCATGTATTTGTTTTGCTCTTTCGAAAATTTCTGCTTCAGACAGTCTGTTCAGCAATGTCTAATTTAATAATTTTTTTTTTACTTTTGATCTTTACCCAATTTTACTCAAATCATTGGAATTGCTATGCAAAATCTCAAAAAACTTTTTTCAATGATAAAATAAAGCACATAAAGTTTGTCCTAGTCGGAAAAAAAAGAATGAAAGAAGAAGCCAAAAACGTATCTAAAGTTTACGCAAAACCTTTTGATAAAATTAGCACTAAAATATTGCGACCCGCAACTTAGTTATAGATTTGATTACTTGATTAATTTTGATAATAAAATCTTTAGTATTGTTAACTTTATTAAAGTGAGTGACTTTAATAAAGTTAACTTTATTAAAGTGAGCGACTTTAATAAAGTTAACTTTATTAAAGTGAGCGACTTTAATAAAGTTAACTTTATTAAAGTGAGCGACTTTAATAAAGTTAACAATACTAAAGATTTTATTATCAAAATCTTTGTAATTTGGTTGATCATTACATCTTTGTAATTTGGTTGATTATTACAACTTTCTTTGTAATTTGGTTGATCAAAAAAACATGTTGAATTTCAAATGATTTTTTTTGAAATAAATTCCCGAGTTTTTAAATTTTTTACATTCATTTTTGGTATATTTATGCGTAAATGTATGTGTGTGTGAGAGAGAGAGAGAGAGAGAGAGAGAAAGAGAGAGATATAGAGAGAGGCAGACAGACCTCTGTCTGTTTGAGAGAGATACCAAGAGAGAGACAGAGAGAGAAAGAAACTGAGACAGAGAGACAGAGACAGAGAGAGAAAAACAGAGAGTCAGAGAGAGAGACAGAGATAGACAGAGATAGAGAGGGCAATGAGTGAAAAAACAAATTTTTTTTGAGCATATTACACTTAACTAAAATTTATTGACAGGTTTTTAATTTTTGAACATACTACAATAAACTTAACTTCATCGACAAGTTTTAAATTTCATTTTATAATACTTTTGTTTTCGAAATTTGTAAAATATAAACCTCTTAAATACTTGTGTTCCCAGGCAACAATCGTCGCAATTTTTTGCAAACCATTATCTGTATATAACATACTTAAATTCGGAGTTTACGTAATGCCTTAAAGTGTCATACCTAAAATATCAAAAATTCCTTCTACTTTTAAATTACTTAAAGTATTTAAATAATTTAAAACTAGAAGCATTTATCAGGTATCGTAAATAAGAAGAACTGACATGATTAAAATACGACAAAAACTCATCAGGTATCGTAAATAAAAAGAACTGACACGATTAAAATACGACAAAAACTTATCAAATTTTGACAAAAGTTGTAAATAAAAATATTATATATTGAAATTATAGTTTTCGGGTAAAAGAATTCAAATTTTTTAATAAAAGTATTTTTCATGCGCAGCTATGACGCGTACAATGAGCGCGTACAAAATAAGATATGAAACATAATCTGAATTTCGGCAAACTTTACATATACCAAAACTCTACATATGTTTAAATACTCTGACTTGAATTTAAAACTCTCCTTTTCCATAAGCTTCTCCTTTATGCTTGATTTTGTCATTAAAACATTTTATAGTTGTTTTTCAATCTCTTTATTTATTTTTTACCTTTGTCACTTGCTATAATGTTCATTTCCTAAACGCGGGTTTTATTTTTCTGGTTTAAACCCCGTGTTGAAAAAAATCCTTCAGAAAAATTTAAATTTTTTAAAACTTGCAAAAACGATTCCTCTTTCATTAAATGAAAAAACAGCTAATGCAACAGTAATTTCAATAATGGTCTTACCAGAATAATTTTTTTTGAGGCTCGCATCCACACTAAGTTATTTACCGATCCGTTTGCATTTTGTGTTTTACCGTCAAGACATCGCTCCAGTAAACTGTCAGCACCTAAACTCTTCCAATAGAAAATTGGCTTATGAATTCACTCACAGACTTTGGTATGTTTATTGTTTTTTTTATATTTAGAAGTTTTCATTTGTTAATCTAATTGATATTTACACCCATTGTTATTATAGTCATCGTTGTTTTCAGAACAGTAATGGATTAATTTAGCGATTGATTTTTTCATTCCATAAAGATTAATTTTGTTCTGTTTTACGCATATTCCATATTAATTTTGAATACTATTCATAACTTTCTCAGTCATTCTATCATTACCTGTCGATTTCTTGCCATCACTCAGCAACTTTTCTTTATATGAAAGTTTTAGTGCTCTTAACCGTGCACCAAATTGTTTTTGTACGTATCCGACAGTTTTTTTGTACGTATCCGACAGTTTTTTTGAATATAGATTAGCATCAACAATAACTTTATAAGGTTTTCTTTCTTCAACACCTTTATACTTTATATAACGTAAATTCTATTTTGAAAGAGAAAGATTCAATATTTCAAGCACTCCAACAGATTCCATTGCTTCAGGACAACCAGAATTATTAATTGGAGATGTATGAGAAACAAATCATTCATTGTACTCTGGGGTTCTTTTTTTGAATTCCCAATATTTACAAGACTTGCAATTTTTACCTAAGGTTTGAGTGTCAATGCATTTATTATTAGAAATTAAAGTAACAACTCCATTCAATGAAGAGAACCCACTACGCTGCCAAGCACAGTGCATTTTTTTCTATAATATTGTTATATGTTGCTAAACTCATTGGTGGAGAAATATTTACGACATTAAAATGTTGCTATGGTACTATGCCCTTTACCTATTCGTCTAAAAGTTATAATTAATCTAATATTTACATCATAGGTTTTTCTCCCTCTTTTTGAATCAGGATTGACAATCTCTTTAGAGGTATACAAGTTTTTTGACCATTTACAATCTGCCTCGTGATCAAATAAGTTCTTCAGAGAAATAGACATATGGTCTTATGTACAAAACTTAATAGCCTCATGAAAAACTTCATCTATTAACAAACCTGGGTTAAAAGGAAATTTATTAAACATTGCAGTAAGTACTTTAGTTACAAATAATATAATATACAAAGACCTATAAAAAAACGCTTTTTCTAGGCTATAAAACTATATAACATACCAGCAGCAAAATTTTACTTTAGACCATAGACCAAAAAATGTTTTCAGATTAAAACTTGCCAACGCTTTCTGAGAATCAAAATGGGATTAAAAATAAAGATTTTTATAATTAACCACCTGACTGAGAAGTAAAAAACTTAAAACTTTATAGCTTTTAAATAAAGTGGGGTGGAAAAGTTGCCTAGATGCAAGAAAGCCTTAGGTACACGAACTGTATTGCAATATTGTTATTAATTTATTTTCAATACAGTTGCTACACTACAAACAACATTGATTGCATTGTAACTTATAAAATAAAAATTGTGGAGCATCCACAATATTTGAAATTAAGGAAGAATTAAATAAAATGTGTAACAACAAACAAAAATCTAATACTAGATAGATAAATGTTATATAATAAAAATGCTTTTAATAAAAACTTTTATATTATTATATCTTTTTATATAACATTATTTTTATTCTATTTTTATATTATTTTAAATGTTATGTAAGAAAAGATTCAGTATTTTATAACCGTCTACTATTGTAAGGTATATTTTTATCAAAAAGTATTTTCAGCATCAAGAAAATA